AGTGTTGTTATCAACTTTGTTATCACTACAATTTCTTCTCAAAACTTTTGATTCTTCTTCCTGTTTTCTGTAGCACTTTTTTAACCTTGAAGTTTTCCCTCACAGATCTAAGGAACAGATCTTTCTTAGAAAAGTTTCCCCAAAGTGCTTTTCTCAGCGTCCTAAGCAAAGTCTGAAAACCATGCAGGGCAGCTCTGGTCTGCCTTTTGTTTCTCTAGAGAAAGACCAATTATCCTAATGGCTAGTTGCAGGGCATGTGCTCCTTGTACAGACAGATCACAACCAAACTCATACAAGAAGCTTAAGTTACTTCCAAGGACTGATTCTGGCTATCTAGAGTGAGTAAGGGCTGAAACAGTTCATCAACTTCCTTCAACTTTATTTGAAACAGAAATTCAAAGCTACTATAGTACATCCATTGTTAATGAAGGTCTACTTTTGCAAAGCAAACAAAAGATACTTTCATCCATTGTGTCCTGCCAAGGAATGTCATCCACTCCCCTTCTTCCAACTTTGTACTGTTTCAGGAAGAATGAGTTTTATTGAAAGGACACAACGCAATTTTCCTAACTGGACACATATATACTAATGAGCAAACTTAATCTAAGAATTAAGCTGATAAAAAAAAAAAGGATTTGTATCAACTTTAGGAACTTGTGGCCCTCAGCCATATCCACATAGATAACATCAAAAAGATTACTTGGTTACTCAGTGTATTTGTACATTGCCAACCTTCTCCCCATGGATTCCATGTTAATTGCCACCCAATTCACAAAATTAAGAATACCCAGTAACACGTATTTTTAATAAATGGATAGAATGTACTGTGGCAATATATCAAAGCTTGGAACATTTGCCACAGTCTTACTAAGATAAACTACAGGGAAAAAGGACATGTGAAAATTGTTAGGTTTCCCTAAACTTGTTTCAACTAAGGAAGCACAGAAAAGAATGGAAGAACTGAAACAAACAAGTCCGGAGGATTTCAACCTTTCAAGAGCAATTCAGAAGCACTCTAAGCATTTTAGAGTGTTTTGCAGAAATACTCTAAAAACTTTAGACTCAACTGCAGTATAAAGCAAGCTGTGTTTCAGGAAGAGGGGAAAAAATGACAGAAACTCCTTTCTGCACTGAAGAAACATTTATAAGATCAAAGCAAAAGCTTCTTTCTATTCTATCCCTTTCTGGATATAGAGCACGCTTCTTGTAAAACTGATGACAGAAGCACGATCACATCTTCAGTCACTTCAGACTCAACTCTAAATGAAACCACAATTGCCCAGTGTAGAGAAAAATTACTTCCAGCCTTTGGAAAGTGAGAATCCTTTTTTTCCTCATCTCTCAACAACAAAAATCTCTCCAACACCTACAGAGCAAAGAATTCTGTCTTGGAGCGAGCTAAAAACCAAAGGTCTTCTCCTACGCACTAATTCTTGTGTGACAAGAATAACAACAGCTGACAATTGTTAACCTGCAGAGCACGTGTGTTTTGTTTGGACCATACAGACAAGAGCAGTATGGGAAACAGTCAGCGCACACGTAAAGCTGCAAACAGTCTTGAGGCAAAGGAGCACTAAGGTTCAGATTTTGGGGAGTGAGGGGGGAATTCCACAGAAAGAGTAGGGCTTGGAAACTTCTTTCACACAGCTGTGGTGATTGAAATTGCTTTTGGCCCCTCCCTAGACAGCATCCCTCGCCCGAACAGCCCATATGTTCCTGGAGATTCTCAGAATCAGCTTATACAAAGTTGTGCTAAGGAGGCTAGAGACACCAGTAGTCAAATCTGCTGGCTATTAAGCAGAGCTAGATGATGAAGCAGATGTTAGAACAGAGAGAGCAAGCTGGACTAGGGACAGTCTTGCTGCCAACACTGACATTCAAGGGAGATTTATCGGTTTTCTCTAATGATTTCCCTTAAAAAAAAAAAAAAAAAAAGGCTGAACATGAAGCTTTGGTTAACATGAACTCAGGCACTACTGAGCTCTGTTTTTCAGTAGAGTGGGGTCTGATGTTAAAGAACTAGTTTGGGGTGACAGAATAATGACAGAAAGCTTTTGTGAGAAGTGTTACTAAGCCAGTGTGAGGAAAAATATGAATCCAAAATACCTGACCTCATGCTTCGCTCCATGGAAGCACAGCCACCTCCAAGCTATGATCCTGCATCTGCTATTTCACATGTATGGAGACCACACCTGAGATAAAGCTCATGCTTTTCAGAAATAGATTTCTCAACAGCAACTATTATTTGGTGGGGCAAGAGAAGCAATGACAACAGAACAGAAAGGAAAAATCAGAACAAAATGAGGGTGTCAGGTGGGCTTCTGCCTTTTTCCTTGTATCACACAGCTTCTGACTGACCCTAATAACTAATCACACAGCATTTTTGCATTATGACGTTATATATGTGGAAATACACCACTGATGAGTTTCATCCTCTCTACAGCTCCAGATTAGGAACTGCTGTTATCTTTGTGGTTCCAGCACTCCCATACACAATGACAACCTGACCTAAATTCAGGAAGCCTTGGGTAGCTCATGTTTCCTAAAACAAAACACGCAGCTCATGAATATACAGCAGGGTAGATGGCATACAAGATAACAGACAGAGCTCCCACAGCTCCTTGATTTTCTAAGCTCAGATCATAAACACTGTGTAAGCACTGGACAGAAAGGAGTCAGCACACACTGCGTTCTCACTTGAAACAGAAACCTAACCTGATTTAAAAGAAAAACACAAAAAAACAATCCAAGTGTAACAGTTTAAGTAGTGAAGTGACCTACAGTGGTCCTCACAGCTGCACAAAGCTGCTCCATTCCCACACTACAAGCAGCGCCTGCGTTAATTATGCAACATCTAAAATAACGAAACCTCGGTTTTGACTATTAAATGCAGGCTTTGTTTTGGAAACAAACAAGTAAGTAAGATAAATTAATTGCAGCACATAATAAATCATGATTTATCTATTCACCGAAAAAACAGACAAACAAGCAGAACTTTCTGATGTGCAACATGGCTGTAGGGATAGCTTTAGAACTGGTAAAAACAACAACAAAACCCCACACTTTTATCAGACAAGAGGAAGCTCTGCAGACTCTGGGGACAAGACACAAGCATGTTAGAAAGTAGAAGGTGTATGAATTCAGACAGTTGAGAAGAACATGCCAGGGTTCCACAGCTCTCTTCTGGCAAAAGCATTAGGGACAGAAATCCAAGTAGAAGCAGAAGACTCAAATAATTCTCTTGGAAATTCCCAAACAATTCAAAGTACATGGCCACGGGGCTGAAACCAAACCTTTACTGTGACAGATGATGTGAATCTACTTCACTGTGGCCATGAAAACCACCAACACCCATTGTGGTGTGGCTGCCCTCTGGGCTACTCCCCACTCCCAGGCATTCCCCACTATCAAGCAAGACAGACATGAGAACACAGACCTAGAAACCATCCCCTGCAGCTTCACTGCCATAAATGTTTGCTTGGCAAATCAACGGCCTCATTTTTGAGAAGCCCTCCAAAGTTAGTAGTTTGCTGTAATTTGCTGGTTAGGATGCACAGGCCTTAATGCAGCTGATATAAATGATTTAATGCATTCTTTCTCCCCCTTCTCCTCCTATAAACGCATGTTTTCATACCTGTTTAAAAATAAGCCAAACAGGAAAGTCTCCAGCTTCAGCAAACTCTACCAACAACGCACTGTCAGTGCTTCCTTTCTGTTGGAAGGAGTGGTTTCAGGACCGATACAAGAGCACGAAACTGATGCAGCCAGGCCTGAGGAAAGTTACACTGTCCTTGAGACTGTTGTAGCAATTACACAGCGCAGTCTTGTAACAAGAGATTTCCCTCCCTCACAAGGAAGTGCTGGGGACAGACACTGCCTGTGGCTGTGGGCACACACAGATGCTGTCTGTCCTCTGAATTCCCACCCAGCTGGAGGCTGCTCTGAAGCAGTCCTGGAGTACTTTCTCACTTCCCACTCAGGGATTACCCTGAATAATAACTCAGGAAATTTCTATTGCTCTTACACATCTCATTTTGGGAGCCACATCAGCACCTATCCATTTAAATTGCTAAAAAAGATTTCCTGGTTATCTTCACAGACACCAAACCAGGAGAGGAGTATTAAGCAATCAAAAAAGTATCAGACACTTAATTACTTCAGTGCTGCAATTCTGAGGAGCTCTGCTGAGATTACAGGCCGTGCAGAATGCCAGGATCACCCTGACCCCACTGCATAACTCCAGAGTCTGTCTCTGGTCCCACAGCACCCAGCGTGGGGCAGCCCTGTGCCACTGAAGCACATCACGGTGCCTGGCCCACAGCAGCTGTATCACAAGGGATGTGCAGCCACAGCTCCGCCAGGGAATGCAGCGCTGAGGGCGCCGAGCAATTTTGCATGTAACAGTCTGTAAGCAATTATAACAGCCCGCAAGTCAAATGAATGCAGAAAGCTTCCTTTGGAGCCTGACAGAAGCTGCAGTAAGCACTAGATGATACTGAATACAAACCTCACCATCTCTAAATGACACACACGCACACACAGCAACTCCAGCTCTTTTCAAGAACGCTGAAGCCCTATAAACAGGCACACACACAAACTTCTTGTGCTAGTGCAGCCCCTTGCCACCCACACCCTGTGGGAGCTGGCAGGTGCTGCTTCTGGAGAAGCTCGCACTTGGAGCCTTCGATTCGGAACGCCTCAGTTTCACCAGCCGCACCACACGTGGCCGCTCCTTTTTATTTTCCTCTGAATCACAGACCTAAATAACTACCTCGAAAATAAAACTCGGTTACATAAAAGAAAAGCAAAGCCATTTCAATGTGTCGCTACGCCACCTCGATGGCTGCGCCCAGAGGTCAAAGTGAAGCCCTTTGGTGGCCCCTACCGGAGCGCTGCTGCGGGCCTTCCCCCGCGCTGCCCAGCCGCCGCGTCCAACGCGGCTCCCCGAGTGCAGGAAGTTGCTCAGAAATTCCAGAGGAGCGATAGTTAGAAAGACGCACCGGGGGAACGAAGGTTCTCAGATAACCCGCGTGAAAGATCTCTAGGTATGATCCTTCCGCACCCGAACAGCACGTACTGCTTCGCCCTGGAAGAACACAAAGAAGGAACAGGTCTGAGGCAGGACGCCAGCGAGCGGCCACCCGGCACCGGAGGCTCCGGCGGACGGCGCGAGCACAACGCACCGAGACGCAGCGCCACCCCCGGCCCGATGCGAGGGGCCGGCTCCCGAAGCCGCCCGCTCCTTTGTTTCACGGCGCCGCTAACTCGAAACTTCCCCTGACCCAGTTAGCCACAGCCCAAGGCACGGCAGGAATCCGCTCAGGATGCGCCAACAGAAAGACCGGAGGAATTTCGCCTAAAACAAAGGCGGCCCCAACCCCGCCGTCGCGGCTCGGCGCCTCCCGGGTCCCGCCTCTGCGGAGGGGGTCGAGACCGGGTAAACAAAATCCCCGATTCATCCGAGGCGCCGCCGCCACTTCCCACGTCGTATCGCGCTCTCCCGAGAAGCACTTAGCGCGGAAAAAGTCACCGAGAACCGCCTAATCCTGTTAGCGACCAGCCTCTCCCCGCCCGCCCCAGGTGCGCGCCCCGCTCCCGCCGACGAAGGGGAGGGGAAAGGGGGACCAGAGCCGCACCTGCCCCCGCGGCTACTCGCCTGCTGACGGAGCCTCGCCCGCAGAAGGCGTCCCGCCGGCCCGCAGCGGGCTGCAGATAGCCGGGTCTCGGCTACGGCCGCTCCTATCCCGCCGCGCCGGCGAGTCGGGCGATTTCCTGCCGGGTAGAGGGCGGGGGCAGAGCGGGGCGGGCTCCCGGGGCAGGTGCCTGCCTCGCCCCGAGGTGGGGCAGCGGGGACGGGACGGGACGGGACGGGGCGGGCAGCGCAGCGCACGGCAGCACAGCGCAGCAGGAGCGCCGTCCCGCCCCGTCCCCCCGGTGCTTCGGGCTGGAATTTCGGCCGGGATCAGCTTTCTGCCGTCCTGCAGCCGAAAGGAGGGGGAAGGCGAAACCAAACAGCCCGAACAAGATTCTTTGGAGTCGTGTTTCTCCTGCGTGTCACAGAGAATCCCTTATCTCCTCTAGCCACGAGAGCTTCTCTAAAATTAATCTGGGAAAGAGAACCGGCTCGGAAGCCCCCTGGCACCGCGCCATTCGCCCTTTGTCAAGGGCAGGTGTTTCTTGCTAAATATTCCGGATTCCCGGAGCATTCCGCACTCGCTGAGACCTCGTTTCCTTCTCGCTAGGTTTGTTTGCACAAGGAGCCTCAGGCAGAAACCGAGATAAGGAAAGCCAAACATTGCTACTCGCCCAGGCGCT